AACATGAAGGAGTCCAAACTTTGAAGCGCTCTCCTGACCAAACTATTGGGACCATACTTCTCAGATTGCGGGTATTTTGGGGGTTAGAAATCCGAATCTGTCAAAAAGAAAGGTATGTTTATTCAGAGAAAGTACGTTTTTGTGTCTAATTTCGTAACTTAAAATATCGTCTGCACTTATTAATTAACATATTTGAGGTCACCGCTTTGACCTATTAAGATAGAGTCCTAAAACTTGAAGATCCGATTATTAAATCAAAAGTTATTCATTTTCAGGTCCGTTTTTTTATTTTGCGCACTGTATATGTGCACATACAGAGGTACGTTTCATATACACACATTGCTATTACATAGCACACACTCCATTAAACAATGGCCATGCACCGAACCCCCTTTTTTAGGGCTCTACCTTTTAATAACGAAGGCAGAAATGTCACTTTAATTCATTCCATGTCAGACGATGTGGACAGTTGCCGAACTGTTGCTCTCTCTTCAAACTTCCCCACAACAACCAACAAGAGAATTTTCACCCATGAAAAATGTAACATGCACCTTGCATAACATGCTAATTGCATAACATTGTAACATGCATATAATGAAAAATAATATTTACAAAAAGTTATTATTTTTTCATGGAATTATCTTTGGATAAACGAATTTTATAATTGTGACCGAAAATTTTTCAATTTTGCTTAAGTTCCTGAAATATGGCGAAATACGCAAAAATTAAAATTAACATCAAGGAGTGCAAACTTAAGACCACTCTCGAACGTGAAAATCCGATTATTGAATCAAAAGTTATTCAGGGTTGTCCGCTTATTCCTTTGCGCTCTGTATATGCATATACTGTATATAGTATAAAAATTTATGTATGCATGTACTTGTGAACGTAGATGCCTATATAAGTAATTGAACACATGCATATGCACCACTGTATACAATGTATATTAGTGTGCTCATAAAATATATGTAGAATGTATGTGCGTTTGTACATTCAATATACATACGAATGTGGGTACATACAAATTATGTAAGTATCAGCATACAATTATGTATGCATACTCGCGTATGTAATAACTATGTATTTACTTATGTATGTACGGTGTGCAAAAAAACGGATTGATTAACTTTTGATCACCTTGATTAACTTTTGATCTAATGATCGGATTTTCTTGTACTTGGATTTGATTTGAATGTTTCGAAGGCATAAATATGGAAATTAGTTAGTGATCAAGATATTTGAAGTTACGAAATCAGACATAAAGCGTACTCTTTTTCTTAATAGACGCACCTTTTTTTAATAAACACACGTTAAGTTCTCAGAAAAATACAGGACACAAGAGCTTAATTCAGATAATAATTTCAATAAAAGCTTTTTTTTTAAATAATTTGCCACCACATGAAATAACATTTCTTGTGAATATGTTAATTTCAATACTGCGTGAGCTTGCAACAATTATTCATGACTATTAGGAAAGTTTAGTCTATCTTTGGCAAATACCTTCTTATGTAAATTTTGAAAATGGGTTAAGAATTCCGTAAAAAAAAGTAAGTTAGTTTCGTGAAGATAAAAATCGTTTGTAATCTAATTTTTTTAGTATTAAAAAAATTACACCTCCTAAAAATTAAAAAAAAAATGGAAATTACTCATCGGTGATTCTAAACATAACAAAATTTTTCTGTTTTTGTTAAAATGACTGGCAATTTTTAAAAAAGTTTAATAACAAAGTATTTTAGTTATTTATCCACTTTAAAGTCAAGATACTTCTTATATTTATTTTCCCTGACAAGATGCCATGAAACAGTGTTTAAAATTACACAGTTTCTCCCAAGTGATGTAGGTCACTTTAATTGTGGCTTTTTTATTTTCTTTGGTGAAAAAGCTTACTCCTAACTCGTAGCCACTCCTACACAAACAACTGCATACTTTAAAAAAAATTGCAAGTTTAGCATCTATTTGGCACCTTGGCGATTGTAGTTGGCACGGCAGATCACAATACGGAAATATCCCGAAATATAAATAACTAATGAACACAATAAACTGTGAGCAAAAGGGAAAAACTAATATTTTTATATACGTTAATACCTATACATTAATATGCTTATTTAATTCTAAGTATTTTTGGCAACGTATTATTGTAAAGTAAATAACTTTCTTTCAATTTCTAGTAAAATCCCTGGTGATGGCCGAGACGAGTTTTTCTTATCTCTGGCCCATTTTTAATAAAATGAGATTTGTCACTCAATTAATTTTTCAATGAACTCATATTAAGTTCTTGATAGTTTTCCAACTCCATATTTTGCTTCTTCGAAAAGAATCAAAGAGGCCAGTCTCAACGTTTCTAGACATTTTTAAAATATGAATCAGACAAGTGAAATGCCGCAAAATCAAGACACAAGAAGAAAAGTTGAGACAGAAAGTAAAGGAGTACTTTTATTGCTAATAAAACACCTATATTTTCAAATTTGATTGCCGCAATATATACGCCGTTTGCATAAGCAGATGATATGAGAACACACTTTAACTTTCCCTTTTTCATATTTAGCTGATGTGCATTTTAAATCAACGTTTTTTTTTTCTTTCTGATAAGTTGATAAAAATAAGTTTCAAGTATAAAACCTGCGAAAAATTATAAACGATATCTCATTGAAGATATTGAAGTGTGTAAAAGAACAAAACATAGAAGGTTACGGAGTTCAATTTGAAAAAGAAAAAAGAAATTACTATATGCATTCTTTATTTTTTTTTCTATTTGAAATAAATCCAAAACCATAAGCTACAAAAACAATATTAATTAGGAGATATAATTTTTTTCTAACATTTGAATTTAATTATTTAAAGTTGAGCTTTTTCTTATGGTTTATCAATTGATTTATCAGAAAGAAAAAATTGTGAATGATGTTTGCTGTATCTAATTAAAACCGGGCAAAATATTCTAGGAATTGTAAAATATGTGAATTTATGAGATGCTAAATTATGATAATTTATGATTACAATGGGATTACCATACATGTATAGTACATTTAGCATATGAATAAGTATATATGGTGTTCTTCCATAATTTTGTTATGTGTATTTGTTACTTTCCCATAATTATTTGGTATTTTACCATAAGATCACCATAAAAGTAAGGTGTGTTTCAATACATTTGCTATATGTGTATGGTACATTTCCATAAGGGATTGTCTTGCCGCATAAATACCATACAGATATCTAAGGTTACCATAGGTTTCTGGTGTCTTGCCATATAAATGACATCCAAATCCTTATGGTTACCATAAGCCTATGGTATCCTGCCATATAAATACCATACAGATCTCCATGATTACCATAGACGTATGGTATCCTGCCTTACAAACTTCTATGGTAACCATAGGTTGCCATAGATTACCATAGGTTTCTCTGGAGTTCACAACCGTAATTTAATATTTTCGCTTACCAAAAGGCGGATATCTTAAACACTATTTTTGCTTTCATCTCATTGTGCATGAAGCTGATCGTTAAGTTCCAAATCATTTAACAGATATCTTTAACTGAAACTTATAACAGTATATTAATGTTATTTGCACAAAAATAATAAACGGTTAAATTATTTAGAAAGGGGTGCTCTAGCACCCCTTTCTAGACAATTTTATCGTATATATATATATAACCAACAAGAGAATTTTCACCCAT